GAGGTCGATGTTTAGAACCGAAGGGGGAACTTGGTTCTCACTTCGGTCCTTCCTTCGTCTCTCGATGCCGACACGAGCATCGGGGGCACCCTTCTGCAGCTGCTGACAGAGGTCAGTAGCGACCTGCTCTAAGGATGTTTTCTTTTAAACTGTTTTCAGTCCCAGACCAGACCAGACAGAACCAGATCACACCAGACCAGACCAGACTTCTGTAGTTATAAAATACACAGAGACCAGACGTTTACCAGACCAGACTAGACCAGTTCAGACCAGACCAGACCAGACCAGCAAATTTCAGTCCAAAAGAAAACATCCTAATTCCATGTAGTGTGCCACCTTCGGGCACCAAGAGCCTGTTGGAGGCCTCGGCCCAATTGACCTCTCCGAGGCCTGTTGGAGGCCTCGGCCCAATTGACCTCTCCGAGGCCTAGGTTGTTCTCCTCGAGGGTTTTGGACTGATTGCGGGTTCTTCCCATTTTGGTAGGTGTTTTTGTGTTTGGTGAAGGGGAGGGTTTCTTACTTTATTGTTTGGACCTCTCAACGAGAGCACGAAATGATGGATAGTGTACCCGGGGGGGGGGGGGGGGGGTAGCTTTATCCGGGGGATTATTCGAGGAACAACCTAGAGAGAAGTCAGAGCAAGTAAGAGAGAGAGAGAGTCAAATGTATTAAATGAACTCGGTGTCTTACAAGGAGAATAAGGGCTGCTATTTATAGCAATGAGAGTACACGTGTCAACAATCTAACGGACGAAGGGTCACCTACAAGGAGATTAGACGTATTTCAAAACGTTAAAATCTTATTAATCTCATAAAGAACAAAAAAAAAAAGATTTTCTGGAATGCAAGTAATCATGGGGACGGAGATAGATATGGAGATGGAGATGAATTAAAAAAAGAAACCACGAAAGTAGGTGATGGAGTATATGGCCCGGCCCAGGGACCCCCGACCCACAGACTCTTACTTCTCCTACACAGGCCCAAGAAGCGCATGAGGCCCAAAGCACACCAGCCCAAGCTCAAAGGAGCCCACGATACACGTGTCAACAATCTTTGCAAAGCCCTTTGATCAGTCCCCGTCCTAGACCGATTGAAAGCAAAAATATGGACAACGGATGAACACCGGGCGGCTTTCTACAAAAGCCGGACGGCTTTCGTCTTCTGCAATACGGGACAACCCCTTTTTTGCGGCGGTTTCAACTCCTATTGGTTTCACAACTCTTCTAAGTTAATTACCACCACATTATATCAATATTCTACACTTTTGAATGTGTAGAACTTCATATCTACTCCATCATATGATTTCTTGAAAATCATTTCAACACAAAACTGGTTAAAGGATATTTGTTGGGTTCTTACCTCAACTCTAACCCTTTCTCTATGGATTTTCCTTTCTTCTTGCCTTCCTTCAACTATGCCTTTTGTTAGAGCTTTCCCTTGAGCTTCTATCCCTTGTGTTGGCCGAATGAGTGCAAAAACGATAGAGGAAACACCCCCCTCAATCAAATGCAAAAAGTAATGCATGGATGGGGCCTAGGAGGTGTGGGTGTTTGTCTTGCACATCAACTCACTCACAATTTCGTCCCAATGTTTATTTGTGTCCCAAACCCCTCATTTAGTGTGTATAACACATTTAGAAAAAGTCCCAAGTGGGTGTAGGAAGTTCCTCCCAATTATTATTGGTCTTTCTGGCAGGTTGGGTCAAAATAGCACTCGGGTTGCCCGAACATTTTTTCCACTTTAGTTGGCACACTATTGGGCTTCTATAATTATTATAATGACCCAACTAATTATTTGGTAGCCCATTCTCAAATCTCAATCTTATGGACCCGATAAATAATTTAATCAACGATTCATTAATTAAATATATCCTTCATTACACAATTTTATTCGCTAGGAAATTCAAATACATATTGAATTTTAAATCAAGTACATCTGGGTGCGGTGTCACATCCATACAATCGCACCATGCTTTAAATAGCCACACAAATGTTTGTGTATCTTCACTAGAGTTTAATTCACATCCTGGCAAGATTGATTGGCCGTGATGATTTACTCCCACAAATGATGCAAAAGACATGTCTTGTAAAAATCATAAACCTTTCCCATATGTCTTGTAAAAATCATAGACCGCTTCATTGTTATCAAACTCCATACCAAGTTTTAGAGGTTTTTATAGAACCAACTTCACTCTCATTTTACTATCCTTTTCCACCTGTTATGTTACAATATTCATGTCTCTAAGAGAATAATGATGTAGTCATGTGTACATACAAACTCTGGTATGTGCACACAAACAGCAACAAATTCACACACAAACAATCCAAACATATACACAGATACGTTGAACACACAAACAAACATTTCCACATTTTTCTCCAAACGCATACACGATTTCGTACACTAGTCATATATACATCCAATATAAAGTTATTTGTACACAAACATATGATCTATCTACAACATACAAATTACATGTCCACCTCTTTGTAGATGCACAAGCACGATCTCATTCACTAGTACTATATACATCCAATATATATAATCTAGTACACTCAGATAATATGATCTCAGACACAAATATATGTCTAGTCTACAAGACATGGACACCGCACTAAAAAGTTGCTTGTGTGAAGAAACCTATATTGAAATTCAACCTAACTGCAATTGCATACAAAAAGATGAAACAACAACATAAAGTCCTACTACCAATCTCAGCAACAATGTCCATGGCCATCGACGTTTGTCTGTCACTTTTGCTGGTCATTGTTGTCTTCCCTTCAGCTTCCCCATCTCCGGTCATTCATCCCATTGCGCTCAAAATGCATTGTCGTTAACTTCGAATATGGTAGGTTTTATTGGGTGCATTTTGGAAAATAAAGAAAAAATAATTAATAAATTAATTTAATAATTAATAAAATGACGAAAGAAAAATAGAAATGCCGTGGTTGGGTGCTGGAATTCAGCGGTGGATTCGGCTGTTGAGCGTTTGGAGGGAAGAAGCTTGAAGGGGTGCTCCACGATCCGAGCACTTTGTTGGCGCTTTGGCTAGAGAAGAGGGGACCGTTTCTTGGCGGCGTGAAAGCATGTACATCAACGAGAGAGCCAACAGTCTCGAACAATCATCTACTTCTTGATTGGGACGCAGGAGAGTTGGGCCTGTGTGGAGGTTGATTCCACCCCGGTGGCCATTGTGGCAGTCCTGTGGTGCAATCGAAGCAGGCATCGAGTTCAGATGTGGCCGCAGATCCGTGGTGAATAGGTTTGGGAGGCATAATAGCCATGTGGTGGTTTTAGTAAATTTGGCATTGTTGATGGTTGGGATGAATGCTACACCTTTTGTGTTCGATCCGGGTGGATCACCGGCGGTTTGGCGTCTTATGGAAGGGGTGAATCTGAAATCCAACAAGATGGTTGAGGGATTGGCACGCGTGATCTGGCCACCCAAGATGGTGAAGGAAGAAGATGACATGAGAAAGCTCGGCCCCCTCCTAAACCGCCGCCATGGAGGAATTGCGAGATATGACTTTGGAAGAATGTTTTATTTAGTTATTATTTGTCAGTTTCTTACTTGATGTCGTTGTTGCTTGTTTAGTTAAGGGGACGGGGAGTTCAACTAAGTATTATGTTGTTAGATGGTTGGAGATCTTTTTGGTTAGCTATAGCTGGTTTAAACCCGATACACGTTTAGCGATTCGTGTCGCTCCTTTAGGGGTGATCTTTTCTGTGTCTACTCGTAGGGTTGTCAATCGTTGTGGGTGGAGGATAGTCGTAGTTAGTGGTCTTTATGTGTTTGATGTAACGATCCCGTTTCTAATGATATTAATATAAGGCGAGTTTTCCTGTAAAAAAAATAGAAATAAGATGGAGCAGAATTTAGCCAAAGCTCGTGCTACGCACGATGTCCTTAAAACGTATTCGTCGCCTCCCACAGTGCTAGGAGCGTTGCAACGACCATTTCCCAGGATACAGTGGCTAACAAACTATCGTTTGAGCACACAAACGAAAGTTCCGGCAAACGAAAACAAGTATGATTTTTTTTTTCCAGAGAACTGGTGGTGTTTTTGGCTGAAGAAATATGTGCAGATTGTGTATGATTGCATGTGTTGTTGCAAAGCACCTGCCAACCATTATATAGGAAGATTTGTTGTGTGTTAATGGTGAATTAAAGGACTTGAACGTTGGACATCAATGACCAGTCCGTTGGGCATTGAATCGTCCATGAACTGTCCATTTAACACTGCATAAAGGCATACGAACGTTGGACATTTATTGCTGTAACGGTTCAGAACATTCAGTTGCTCGACAGAAGACCCCCACCAGAACACCCTACGAGGTGTTCTGTTTCGAAGCCACCAGAACACCAACGAGCGACCAGAACACTCGCACCGTTATGTCCGAGCACTTCTGTCAACTGGGAAAAAATAAACGTTACGGGAAGAAAACAAAATTAAACCGTATATCTTGAGAGATAGATTTTTGGACGACATTCGCGCTCGCAGGTCGCCCGCGCACGCAAGTCGTGGTTTTTATTCTCCGTTTCGGGATTTGATTTGCACCCCCTCTGCGCGCAAAAGAGAGTCTTTCACCTTAGGAATCTTAACTCCTTAAAAAAGACCCCCCTTTATAAGGGGTTGCAAATCCCTTAGGTTTTCCAGTGTAGGAAATTAACACACTAGAAACCCATCCTTTTACCCAGTTTTCTATTCTAACGGGTCAACTTCGAGAATCAATTTCTCATTCACCTGTTATCCGTTTTGAGAGTACCATATATCGAATTGTAGCCCTTAACAAGGACAATCAAAAACTACTTTTACCCGACCCAAATCGGAAGTGGACCCTACTCAAAATATTGCCCCAAAATGACCATTTAATGCAATTTTTAACACATTTTTCCAACAGGTTCGCCACGAAAATTCATTCAACAGACGGAGACAAACGAACTTCCACTTCATCCAATTTAAGGTGTTGGGATGTCTAGGAATGAAGAAAAATGGAAGGCAAAGGTGGTCCTTAGAAGAGAGAAGAGAGGAGAGGGAGTGAGCACGTGTGGTGGGGGTAAAGGATGGATACTCTCTCTATCCAATAAAAATCTTTCTATTTCATTTTTGTAAAGTTTGTATGAATAATATTCATTTATTCTTTTGTACTCAATCAAAATTATACATTTTTCAGTTTAATCTTACTTTTTAAAATTTCAATCAATGTCAAATCATGAATGATTTTATGGAACTGAGGAAATAGTTTCTTTTTCTTTTTATGGTATATTCTTTTGAACATCTTTCGAGTTGGACGTATACGGGTTTGGTTTGGGTTTGGGTTTCCATGGCCGCCAGTAATCACCCTCCCCCAACGGTAATTCCCGCCTCCACCTTTCTTCATGCTAGCACTTTAAACCATCACCATCGCCCTCTCTCTGCCTTTCTCCGCCCGCAAATCCCGCCGATCTCATTCCACTCTGTGTTAAAGCCGAAAAAGAAATCCAATCACGTATCTATCCAACAAACCCTTTTCCATTCCGCCCCCCTGGTTAACTCGTCACTCTTACGACACTCTGAACCGCACACCATTGATTACGCTGATCTGCTCAAGCTTTCCGTTCGTAAGGGTGATGTTTATATAACTACAATTGTACATGCCGCGGTTCTTAAACTTGAAGAGGACACCCAAATGTCCAATGCTCTCATATTCGCTTATCTGAAATTGGGTCTTGTCAATCATGCTCACCACGTGTTTGGTTCTATTCTCCACCCGGATATCAAATCATACTCAGCTTTGATATCGGGTTTCGCAAAATTCAATCGTGAAAGCCAAGCCATGGAACTCTTCTTTGAGATGAGGAGCTCAGGCATTGAACCCAATGAGTATAGTTTTGTTGCACTGTTGACTGCTTGCATTCGTTCACATAAATTGGAATTGGGTCTTCAAGTTCACGCTTTAGTGATGAAAATGGGCTATTTGGGTTGCATTCATGTTTTCAATGCTCTTATGGGACTGTATAGTAAGTGTGGCAGTTTAGATTTCGTCATTGAATTGTTTGATAATAGTTTGTCCAAACGTGACACTGTTTCTTGGAACACTGTGATCTCGGGTTTGGTTAAGGAGTCTATGTATGACAGAACATTTGAAATGTTCAGTGATATGCAAAAAAACGACTCTGTAAGAGTTGACGATATCACTCTCTCAACTCTTCTCACTGCATGCTATGAGTGTTCCGCTGTGAGCAAAGGTCAAGAACTCCATGCCCATGCCCTTAGAATCGGGTATGAAGGCAACATGAGTGTGAATAATGCACTTATCAAATTTTACACAAGGTGTGGAAACATAAATAATGTGATGGCTTTGTTTAAGAAGATGCCTGTAAAAGATGTCATTACGTGGAACGAAATGATCACGGCATATATGGGATCAGGTCTTGTTGATTCGGCTGAGAAACTCTTCAATCAATTGCCCGAGAAGAATGTGGTTTTATATAACGCCCTTTTAGCTGGATTTTGTCAAAACGGTGAAGGCTTGAAAGCAATGGACTTGTTTTGTAGAATGATAGAAAAATCCCTAGAGTTGTCCACTTTTACCTTAGCCAGCCTTGCAAATGCATGTGGGCTGATAATGGAAAGAGAGTCAAGTGAACAGATCCATGGTTTTATTCTAAAATCTGGCCTTGGGTCAAACAATCTTCATGTCCAGTCAGCATTGCTTGACATGTGTATCCGTTGTGAGAGAATGGAAGATGCTGAGAAGATATTTTGTAGAATGCCAATGGAGCACGACAGATTGATCGATCTCACATCAATGATTTGTGGATATGCTCAGAACGGGAAAGCAGAAGAAGCCATTTCACTTTTTTGTGAAATGATGTTTAATAAAGGGTTATCACTAGTTATTGATGAGGTCGCGTCTGCTACTGTTCTTGGTGTTTGTGGAACTCTAGGGTTGCACAACTTGGGTAAGAATCTCCATTGTTATTCTATGAAAAGTGGGTTTCTGTGTGACGTAACTGTCGGGAATGCCATAATCAGCATGTATGCCAAATGTGGTGAATTGGGGGATGCAGTCAAGGGATTTCAGCTTATGTCGACTCGGAATTTAGTCTCGTGGAATAGCTTGTTAGCTGGGTATGCCCTTCATAGGCGGGGAGATGAAGCTTTGGACACATGGGCACAAATGGAAACATTAGGAATAGCTCCAGACTCCTTTACCTGTCTCCTTGTTCTTCGTGCTTATAGATACACTGCAAGAAATTTAGTTAATACCTGCCAAAGCTTCTTTTTCTCAATCGAGTCTGCCTATGGTGTGATCCCGGGATCAGATCATTATGCATGTTTGGTAAGCGTATTAGGTCATTGGGGTGCTCTGGACGAAGCAGAGGGAATTATCGAAAGGATGCCTTTTGAGCCAGACGCTTCTGTTTGGCGTGCCTTGCTTGATAGTTGCAGAATACATTCGAATCCAACAATTGGAAAAAGGGTCATGAAGAAGTTTCTTTGCATTGAGCCACAAGATCCATCTACGTTCATACTGAAATCAAATCTATATTCAGCTTCTGGAAGATGGAAATGCTCGGAAACTGTGAGGGAAGAAATGAAGGGGAAGGGGTTCCAGAAGATTCCGGGCCGGAGCTGGATCAACCATGATAATAGACTTCACTCCTTTTTAGCCAGGGACAAATCACACTCACAGTCTAAAGACATATACAGTGGACTGGAGATATTGTTGTTGGAATGTATGAAAGCAGGATATGTTCCTGATACCAGCTATGTGCTCCATGAAGTGGAAGAGTATCAGAAGAAAAATTTCTTGTTGTATCACAGTTCCAAGCTGGCTGTCACTTATGGCCTTCTAATGATGAAACCTGGTACACCTGTCCTTGTCATGAAGAACATCCTTCTCTGTGGGGACTGTCATACATTCTTCAAGTTTGCTTCCACTGTCACTAGGAGAGAGATTCGTGTAAGAGACAATTCAGGTTTTCACCTCTTCCTGAACGGCAACTGCTCTTGTGGTGATCGCTGGTAAAGTAATTAATTAGTTCATGAATGTCATAATTCTTGATTTAAGAATGTGTCTAATTGTTTGTTTTGTACAGAGAATTCCAACATATTAATTACAATACCAACATGTACTAAGTATTTCGTCCTATCCAAACTTATCCTCGACTCCACCATTTTCAAAGAATAAAAAAAAATCTGATCAACTTTCCTTTCGAAGTAATTTTGTCTGGTGGATGCTAGAATACACAGAATCCATGTGGGGATCTTTTTTTAGCGTTTATATCAACCGGGTAGTTCAACCTTAAGAGTCAGAAGCACGATGAAGAAAAAATGGTCATGTAGTATAGAACTTGTCCCAACTTAATTATGTTAAACATTTTCTAATTTAGTTCTACAGCAGGGGAAAAAAAACTAAAAATCGCTGTTTGAGGCACTTCCTTAGTGTTTGCCTTTCTCTGTGGATTCCAACTGTGGTTTTGTCGATTGTTTTTCTCAAATCACGGATACCAGTTTCTCTAAAATAGTACTCCATATATTTGATCTATAAATGTTTAGAGGCACTTCCTCCGGCCACTACATTATCAGCCACATATATGTTTCTCAAAAGTCATCTCATTCTGTTTATGGCAACACCAACGGGCAGGGGCGGAGCCAGACTTTAGTATGAGGAGGGGCGGAGTACAATACATGTGTTAAAATAAAGACAAAAAAATATCGTAGCAAAATTAAATATTATACCAATATTCATGTATAATATTCAAAAGTACAAAATTAATTTGAAGGACAACTAAAATTTAGTTTGAGTCTTTTTCATCTATGCAAAAAAGTCACATAAATAAATTATAATCCCATAGTAAAAACTGAAAATCTAAGCACATAATTAGACACAATCTAGGACAAAGTCACATATGTAAATAACCTATTACATATGAAAAATTACTAAATACCAAGAATAATACATAGTACATAGTAATATTTCATTGAAATATTTAATTTAAGGTAACTGAAAAACAATAATTTAACAAATACATATAAGTAATAATCTATGATATTAATGAACAATATGCTATATTTCGCTAACCATAATGATATATATATATATATATATATATATATATATATATATATATATATATATATATATATCCTTATTTATTAATAATAATTCACTAGAGGTCTAGGTTTATACATCAAGTTAATTATTACTTAATAATTTTATTGGTAACTAATAAATTATAAAAGGAAAATCGTGAATGTGTGATAATAAATTATAATCTAGAAAACGAATAAAATCAATATATATATATATATAAAAGAGGAACTTTTTAAGAGCATACAAAGCGCCACATAATCCTGCCATGTTATTATATATAACAATTATTTAGTTATTTTTATACCTTTTGTTTTTATTAGATTATATTTTTGATTAGATGTTGATATTGATATGGAAACAAAAGATCATAGAAATCCACCTTAATTAATTTGGTAACTTTTTCAACCCCTATTACTATACGTATTTGATAAGTTTTTTTTCTTGATGATGATAAGTATTAAGTATACATATTTGTATATTCATGTATAGATTCTCTTAAACAGAATACTTTTGATCAACTAGCTTACCATATTTAACAAGGATGAAAATTGATATCATACATAAATATATGTATATGTATATTTATTTTCACAAGTAAATACTTTTAGCCTAGCCAATAAAGTATATATTAGTACAATTTAAATATGACTTAACTTTTGAAATAGATTCCTAATCCAAATTAGGAAATCTTTATATGTTTACAAATTCCTAACTTTATTCAATAGAAAGTTTTTAATTGGACTAATTTCAGTTTCAGACTAAATCAGACCAGGTCAAACTTTAATAATAATAATAATAATAAGTCACAGAAAATGTAAAACAAGCATCTACGAGAACATATTAATTCAAACCAAATCAAACCCAAAATTTTAATTCAATAAAAATGTCCTAATTAATGAGAAAAATGTAAGATCTCACAATTAAAATTAAAAAATGTGTATTTCATACCAAACATATACGTAGTACTCCACTACTATTTAGGAAAAATTGACAAGAATAATCCCATCTTTCACTGGTCTTCTCATAATAATCTCATCTTTACGTAATCCAAGAATAATCTCACCTTTGCACATCATCTTCTTTTATTGGACCCTGACCTATTGGGCTATTGATGACCTACAAAGGTGGGATTATTCATATAAGATTTTCAAAGAAAGGGTCCAATGAAAGAAGATGGAGTGCAAAGGTGTGATTATTCTGGGATTACGAAAAGGTGGGATTATTATGAGAAGACCAATGAAAGGTGGGATTATTCTTATCAAAGGGGCATATTTATAGCCTTGGAGAATGGTAGGTTAACAAATGATTGGGTTCCAACTTTAAGGAGGCCCATTCCTATTTAGGCAAGTATGCCTTTACCAAATACGGCCTAATCTATAAATAAATTCTATAAATAAATAAACTACTACAAAAAGGTTATTTAAAACATTGATCACAATTCATGAAAATATCTCTAACAATCTCCCCCTTTGTGATCAGATGTTCTTGCTTCTTCTACTCTTCACTTTTGAGCTTTATAATAGTGCTTTCTGAGATTGAGTGCATGCTCGTAGTTTCTGAGTGACCTTCTTCTATCAAGTTGTTTCTCGATTGCTTTCAACACTTTGTCGATTCTGTTTGACTCTGTTAGTTCGACATCCGTTGCATCTGCATACTTCTGTTGTCTTTCTTCAAATTCTTTTCTGATCGATTGCAATTTTTCTTTCACAATCTTCAGTGTCCCATCACAGTACTTATTGATTTCTTCAATCACCAACACATGCCTCTCACCATTGTAATTCAAGTAGATGATTGCTAACGGGCTATCGAAGATGTAATATGCTGGAAAATCCTCAAGATTTGGTCCGTAAAGCTTTGGTCTTGAGAGGTTTGTCTTTGGCAGATTGGTTTCTAGGGCCATCTGTAGATCATGGGAAGCAAAGAATTTGACTTGTCTGATCATGAAGCGCTTGAGTGCATCGAAGCCGTCTTGTGTGGATCTGTCGCGAGTGACGGGAAGTTCTTGGAATGCTAGATATATACATCTGATAGTTGTCGTCCATCTTTAGCATATATAGATCATTTTCCTTGCAGGTGAATTCAGTCCCGTCAGAGCGCTATAGGTGGTAAACAGAGAGTGTGATGTCTTGATGATTCACTTCGCCTACATTAAGGATACTCCACACTGGGTTTGTTGCTGTTTGTAGTTCATGTTGCCATACTTGTCTCTGTTTCCCCATGTAGTGATGACTAAGCAGGAATAGTTGTCCGCCCTTGTTCTTTCCTCGCAGATGATTTAAGACCACGGATTTTCAATTTGTCCAGTTCCTTGACTTTGTCATCTCTTCTCCATATATGTTTTCTGATTTCCTCTTGGAAAGGAGCATTGATGTTTATATTCTCCCAGGGCTTTTCACTTTTGGGCATTAGAGCCGTTGTTTGTCTGATGATAGATTCCATCTCCTTGGGAGGTTCCTGATAATTCTCTCCTTCCTTGAGTTCATCGTCATCAAGCAGTATCACATCAGCAACACATTTAGCTAGGAGCTCTCTGAGATAGGCTCTTCGCTGTATTTCATCCACATTTGTCCATAGCCGAGACCACTTGTTATGAACAAGAATTTCTTCAAGTTCGTCGTGCATTTGTTCATCAAATTGGCTAGAGGGAGCTTGCTGCTATTGTGGCGATCTGTCAAAAGTAACACCGGGATCACTAGGATTGTCTGTTATCATCAGATTAGAACTAGGTTCTTTCTGATGGCCTGAATAAAATGGCGTACTCGAAGTAGCAACCTCAGGACTTCCACTCCATCATTGGACAATGATAAATCCGTATTTAGACACGCATTTGATGCGTGTTGGGATCGGCTTTTGATGATTTTCCTAGCTTTAAGGTGTTACAAGTCTCAATTTTAGCTCAAGTTATGTTTATCGGGCGTTGGTTCGAGTTTTGTGTTGTTTGGAGTCAAAATCAGGAATTTAGAGTCTGACACCGACGCTTAAGAAGCAATCGGGAAGAGTTGGAGAACATTCGAGAGAGATTTGAGAGTTTTGGAGGCCACCGGGAGGTTCACGGCGAAGATTTGATGAAGAAACGGCCTTTGGATTGATTAAAGAAGTATCTGGGAGCAAACGGGGAAGAAAATGGAAAGAAAACGGTCCAAGAGCATTCCGCGCGCCCCGCGGTGCGGTTCCGCACGCCCCGCGGACGATTCTGAGAGCAAATAGTTGAGGGGTCTGAACCGCACACCGCGCGGCCGAAACCGCACACCGCGCGGTCCAGAAATAGCCCCCAGAAGTACCCGCACGGTTGCATAGTGCGGCGCCCGCACACCGCGCGAAGACGGAAAAACGCGGAAAACGGAAAAACGCGCGCGTGACCGCGCGGTGACCCGCACGGCGTGCGGACGACCGTACGGCCTGATTTTCGGCCTGTTTTCGGATTTTTCTATAAATAGACCCCTGTTTTTCCTATTTTTGATGGGGGGGAGCTTAGAGAGAGTGCCTAGCACGAATTTTAGAGGGCTTTTCAGCCTTGTTCATCAATCTTTTGGGATTCTTTGTAAGTTCCACCTTTTTAATTAATGACAATTAATTCTTTTTATTCCAATTCTTTTGATTCTTCAATTATGAATTGTGAGTAGTTTTAATTAGGGATTTGGGATTGATGAAGGGGTTAATCATGATGTATGGCTAAATTCTTGTCGGTTTAATTGCATGAATGCCGTTTAATTTGTGTTTGAATAATTTAATTGATATCTTTTGTAACCTAGAATCGCGACTAGAATTACAATTGCATGTAGAATAAATTAAGAGAGATCTAATTTGTTCTAGGACACATTCACACACACTTAATCGTTCGCTAAGAGATTAGTAGCGATTAAGGGGCCGTAAACTCGCTTGTCTTGGCAATAATTTAGGATCCTGTCGCATGAGAGATCAGCCTGGTCCCCTAAAGTATTGTACTCTACGCCGCGAGAGCGGTAAGAACTTAGTAATGATTAGCTAGGCTCAATTAAATTAATTTCATGTAATTAGGCCTGATCTGCCAGAAATCTGGTTACCCCGGAATCGATCCCTGTTCCCTTCGTCATTAATTAGAAAGAACCCCCTAGTTTAATTGTCCGCATTAGTTTTATTTTCCAAACCAATCATATCTCGCACGACGCATTTTTTTATTTATATTTAATCGCTGAATTTAATTAATTCTTGATTCTCTTTTGTCCGTCCCTGTGGATACGATACTCGTACTTAAGGGCGAGAAAACACACATCAGTTTTTGGCGCCGTTGCCGGGGACGGTGTCGGTTTTAAGGGTTAATTAATTTTAGCGAGATTTTTTTAGTTAGTTTTCTTTTTGTTTTCCGTAGGATTTTTCTGTGCTAACCTTTCAGGTATTTTTCTAAGAGGCATGAGATGAACCTATTCAGCCAAATTCCTGGAGGAATTCCTTACCCTCAAACCTCCATTGAATATTCACCATATACGCCATACCCTCCTTACACTCCTCCTCCTATTGGTGGAGTGAATGTAATTTGTGTGTAATCTATGAA